AAGAATATTTTAATTGCCCAGCCTGAAACCCTTGTTTCTTTTTGTAAGTCGTTGGAAATGGTTTTCTAGCTGTCGTTTTTGCAAAGGGTGCAATAAAAAAGGCTTGTGCAAAAGAAATGCTGCATGAAATTATAGTGTCTGAGATCCATTGTTTGACACCTTAACTGAAAAATTAGATGGTATACAGGATAGTCTCTGAGTGACAATTTACTTCTAGTGAGATGTTACCTCAGATGTTCTTTTGGGAGATTTGTAGGCTCTAGATTTTGCTTTTAGAACTACAGGGTAGTTTTCTGTTCTCTGGATACTGACAGTGTCTTTAGACTGACAATAAAAAATTCAGACAGTTTTTAAGATAGTGCCTGAAGCAACCTGTCACAGGAAAGAATGAGAGGTTAGAGCTGTGCGCTAGAATTTAGTTCTGATACTCTTGGAGTTCTCAGAGATTTTGGCCTGCCCTAAAAGTAGAGTTTAGGGTTGCTCCCTTCAACTGGTTCTGTTGATTAAACAGTTAATTATTTTTATCTCTTTTACCTGTCAGCCTATATGGAAGAAGTAACTGACATTTGGAACACTCAGAAACTTTCACTTGCGAGCAATACTAGTTCTGCCCACCAGCGTGTGCAGTTTCTGATTTTTAGGTGTGGTAGGTTAACATTACAACTGGGAATTGTTCTGCCACAGCGGTACAAATCTGCTCTACCCCTCGTGTAGAGGAGAGAAGGCTGATAGGTATATGATCTAACTAACATGATTTGAGTAACTGGTTTCCCAAATCTTTTAGTTATATCCCTGAGCCCCTCTAGGCTGCCTTGCATGGAAGTGCTTTTCTCTTAGCACTAAACCGTGTTCTCATTTTATCTCATCTCACCTTGTACCTTAGAGAAGTACTGGGACCACAGGTTGTTATGCCATGAGGGGATCAGCTTATGCAGGCACTCTTCTCTGCATAGCAGCAGCAAAAGCATAGCAGTGTCAAGAGCGGCCTCAGAGGTAGAAGGTTCCTGAAAATCATGACTACAATACGATTTCTAGAAAGGAGAGGTTTCCAAGGGCAATGAGGTTGGCCAGTCATTCATTCTGCAAGAAAAAACCTCCAGGGAAGTGTTGGATTTTCTATGCCTTTTCTAACAGAGTACAACAGCTGAAATCACAATAACATTTAGCAGCTTGTCTTTGACTGTGACTTATTTCCACATTGTCATTTCTCCTCCTAATAGATATTTGAGGTGGTTTTAGTTTGGTTTTGAGAGGTGATGTTCTTCTCTCAGTTCTCAAAAGAAAGCTGAATTTGCAGTATCATCACTGGATAATGGATACAAAGAGACAGTTAATTGGAGGTATATTTTGATTAATGTTGAGCATGTGTTGCATCTTTTTTCAAATTTCAAAAATTGGCTTTAAATCTAGCTTGAGTGGCAGTCTAGTAAATAGAGGTAATTGTGTCTTAGTTTCAGTCATTTTTCCGAGGTCGTGTTGTTTTAAAAGTGGCACATTGTTCATTTTGCATTAATTAATTCCAGTGCAGTTTAATGATAGGCTATAGCAGCAGGCCTTATTTCCCAAGACAGAAATGAAGCACTGCTGAGCACGCTTCAGAAGAGCACTACTTCTTTTTACATAAGGAGGCATGGGACTTTGTTGTTCCAGCAGTTGTGACTGCCTGTGTACATTATCAAGCTTGAAAGGCCTTCACAGCACTTCAGGAGAAATGCAATAGCACTGATCATGATGGGTGGCTGAACACATTTTCCTGCAGAGCTGCTCAGAAACAGCTGACAAGTGCAGTGTTAGGAAGGCTCTCGGAGAAGCTCATTGCATGTGTCTTTATTGCCACATTCTGGAAAGAATAATCCATGAGGAGGTTTCTGCAAACGTCATTTCCTTTATTTTTGACAGTATGCATGCCAACTCTGTACAAGTGCATATGTAGATTGGCAGTGGAAGATAAAAGTATGTGCAAAGCAAAAATAGTATGCTCTTGATGCTCCTGGAGAGATCACTCTGCTCCACTCCCTTTTCTTTCATCATTATTTTGCATTTTCTGTAAATATCCTCTTTCCACAGGCACTTTCATCTTATGGGGCTTGGATTTTTAGCTTGTTCTTGTAAGCAATAAGATTGAAAAAAAAAAATTGCTTGGAATAAGCAATTAGCAAAGCTGATATTTCTTCAAAGTGCCCTGTAGAATGTGTGTGCGCCTTGAATTAAAAGGGATCTTTATTGTAAGGAAAGCAAGGTGGAATTATTCAGAAGTACCCATTCCTAATCTGTACCTAGTGAAGGCACTGGAATTTTGGAGGGATTTGTTGGGTTTGGGTGGGTGTTTTTTGGTTTTGGGTTTTTTTTGTGAATTTTAGTAAGAACATTAAGGCCATGACCGAGTATTTTAAAATAATCCAGTTTCAGATGTATAACACTAAAATGAGGCTAGCTTACTGAAGAATTACATAGAGAGAAAAGGAGGGAGCGCTGATATGGAAATCATACTGAGGCTTCAGGAAAGTAGAACCTGATGCATTTGACAGGAAGAGGAGAAATAATACCATCAAATAAATCTTGTCTTTTGACTGGTGATTCTGAGACAGCTGTTAGCACAGTCAAGCAATATCCAGTATGTTGTTTTATATGTATCTATTTTTATATATACTATATATTGTATTTTTATACTTTATATGTAGTTAATATATTACCTACTATATAAACTATATGTCTAAATAAACATATAGTTTAATGTATAAACAAAACCAAGGAAACTAGAACGGATGGACAAAGGATCTGAGATTGTTGTCCCAAAATCAGGTTCTTTCACCTAGTGTGCAAGAAGCACACACAGAGTCTATTTGACACACACAGGAGCTATTTGATTTATTTGTGGCCGTGCTAGAGGGTAAAGCTGGCACACTAAAGGCCAAAAATACAAGCATATTTATACAGTTTGATTATTTACAGTTCTCCATGATGAATCTACATCAGTACTTAGCTAAGCTGCTATTTGCTTAGCTGTCTCTCACCTGAATTTAAAGGTACAGCACATTTTAAATTCACTCACATGTTCAGAGAGTAGAGATCTTCACTTGGAGGCAGCTTCAGCTTCAGAGGTGTGGTTTTTCACACTAAAATGATCTGACTTTACCAGAGGACAAAATTTGGACACATTTCTAAACCCCAACAGTCCGAAGCTGTTTGGGGTTGACGTGTGACCAGTCTCTTCCCTTTTATATCATCATTTTATTTACTTTTTATGACATTCTGCATTCTTTAGATCAAGTTATTCTACCTTTTCCTCAAACATGCTCTCAGTCCCACTTGTGCATCTGTCTTTTGTCTGCATTGAGGTAATATATTACAGTATATAAGGTGGGAGACTATAAAGCAGTGACTTGCTTATAGAATCATAGAATATGCTGAGTTGGAAGGGACCACCAGGAACACTGAATCCATTCCTGGCCCTGCACAGGACACCCCAGGAATCACACCATGTGCCTGAGAGCATTGTCCAAATGCTTCTTAAACTCAGACAGCCGTGATGGTGCTGTGACCACTTCCCTGGGGAGCCTCTTCCTAAGGCTTCCTAACCACCCTCTGGGGGAAAAATCTTTTCCTGATATCCAATCTAAACCACCCCTGACTCAGCTTCATGCCATTTCCTCCAGTCCTGTCACTAGGTCCTGTCAAGAGTGAAGAGACCAGTACCTGCCCTTCCACTTTCCTTTATGAAGACGCTGAAGACTGCAACGACGTCTCCCCTCAATCTCCTCCAGGCTGAACAAGCCAAGTGACCTCAGCCACTCCTCACATGGCTTCCCTTTAAGGCCCTTCACCATCCTCAGGGCCCTCCTTTGGACACTCTCTTATAGCTTAGTGTCTTTTTTATACGCAAAACTGCCACAATATTCAAGGTGAGGCTGCTCCAGTGCAGAGCAGAGTGGGACAATCGCCTCCCTCACCTGGCTGGCGATGCTTTGCCTGATGCCCCCCCAGGACACGGTTGGCCCTCCTGGCTGCCAGGGCACTGCTGACTCATGTTTAACTTGCCATTCAGGGACCAGAACCCCCCAGGTCTCTTCATGCAGCTGCTTTCTGGCATCTCGTTCCACAGTCTATACACACAACCAGGTTTGCCTCGTCCCAGGTGCAGAATCCAGCACTTGCCCTTGTTAAAGTTCATATGGTTGGTGACTGCCCAGCCCTCTAATTTGTCAGGGTCTCTGCAGGACGTCTCTGCCCTCGAGAGAGTCGACAGCTCCCCCCAGTTCAGTGTCATTAGCAAACTTATTTAGTATTACCATCACACTGGGGAGTCTGTAGCAGAGTCAGAAGTCTGCTGTCTCCACAGTTGTAGTTGTGTCCCCCACTCCATATGAAAGAGCTTTCCTGCGCTGCTGCTTGAATTTCTTGCAGAGTTTCTGTAAACATTTCTAGTTCCAGGAAGGAAATACTATTTTCTTCTTCCCTTCTCTTAAATACAATCTTCTTTTCAGCAGCTGTCATCTCAGTAATGAGACTGCCTTCTGCAGTCTGCAAGTAGATTTAAATCCCGAGTTTTAATTCATGTAAAGCAACAACAAACCTTGAGCAATTTCTAAGAATGCTTCTAAAATATGTTAAAATATGAGGGGGGCAGTTAGATGTTAGTGTCACTTTCCATTTTTTTCCCTATGTTTTTTTTATCATGCTTGAAATCACACATAAAGCAAGCAGCATTAGAGCATTATCTGTTGTGCAGCTGAACACAACAGAGGGGACGCTTTAATAAAACTGCACTGAGGTAACTTTGAGTATGGATTTTTAGCAGCCTTTCTGTACTTAGTGCTTTGAAGCCACTGTCCCCCTGCACATGATACCCTGTCATTAAAGCATATAGATACATATTGTAAGTATATATTACAGACCTCTAATACCTTTTCTTTGTAGACTTGACTCTCTTTAAAAAAAACCCAAACTCAAAACATTTGGACCGTGCAATAACAAGATGCTTTGTGTTATTTTTTCTTCAGGTGAAAAATGTATTTTGTATGAAGGCAAAGGAAGGCAGAAAAAGATCAATACGTGCCTTAGTGGCTATTGGAAATGGTAAAGGGGCTGCAGGTATGTCTGTTTACTGTATGAAAAGATGTCAAATCTATCACTGTTTGTAATAGCACTCCAGGAGGCATGGTGATTTAAAGGGACTTTTATACTTTAAAAAAAAAATTACCCTTTTTTACTATTGGACAGTATTGAAATACCTGTAAGAATTTTGAGTTTCATCTATAAAAGTAAGCCTTATAATCAGATTATGCAGTTTGTTTTGTTTTAGAAAAAGAAATAGAATACCTGGGGTCCTTTGAGTCAGGTCTCATGGTAAGCTTTAGTGCTCTGCAGCTTGACCCATTTGTAGACTTTCTTTGTAACAGCCTCTTCAGCAGGCAATTTGAAATCTAACCAAAGAAATGCTGTCTATGGCATAAAGTAAATAGGACAAATAAGAAGAAACATAAGGTTATGAAAAATATTGTAGTATGAGCTGTGAAAAGAGACCCTTTTCCTTTCCTTTCTCAGCAAAGACTGGAGAAAGAATGCCAGTCAGGGGCATTCAGTTTAGTTGTGATTTCTGTGTAACAGGACTCTAAACACAATACTGTATGGAGCATAGTGATGACAAAGCTGTCTCTAGAAACATTCTCTAGAAACATTCAAACCCTCTCAGGGCAGCATTTAACTAGCCCTGGATCCCAACATGAAAGCTCTATGCAGCCACCCTCTACAGGAGTGAGTTTCTTGCCTGTTTCCAGTTCTGTTATTGAGGATATAGTGTTTATCTTTCACTCAGTTTTCAGATACCAGGAGTTAAAGATTTTATTATTGTTTTTGCAGGATAATTTTTATTTAAAAAGCATCCTTGAATGTGCTAAGTTTTTCTCCATAAGGAGATAGTTTTTATGCATTCTCTTGTGAATATAAAACAATGTATATTAAAATTCCCTTTAGACATTAAATGGGTGTAGAGATAAGACAGCTATGCGGAATTAAATGAAGAATCATTAAAAAAATAATAGCTGCAAAGGAAATCATCTAAATTATAGAGAATTCCTACCTCTGTCAGGAAGCAGGAATATGGCATGTATTGTATTGGTGAGAGTTCAGGAAATTCTGCCTCTAGTAAAGAAAATCTTGCTCTCGATATGTATATAAAGCACCCACCTTTTGGATGTAATCTCCTCTTATTATGAGCTGAATTGATATCTCTGATGATGGGATCTCTGGGAGAGCTTTAATAAGACAGCTGTATTTCCAGTCAAACAGAGTTTTGTAGAACTTTTTCTGTGTGAAAGATTGAAATCCATATGTTTCTTGAGCTGAATTTTGATTGCAGTTTGGAGTGAAGGAAAATTATGTATAGAGAGAGGAAGGTGTGGTTCTCTAGCAGAAAGATAGGTTCCTCTGAAAAAATTTCCTTCTACCTCTTCTTTGGAAAGCTTTCTCATGAAACATTATTGCTGTAATCCATATGTCCTGAATGACTTGGATTGTCAAGTCATTGGATTGTCATTGGTTGTCCCAGTGAACACATTTTTGTAATTTTCTAATGTATTGCATGACTTCACAGCATCAGTACATTCTTATTGTGCTCTGTGTGTGTGTTTAAAAGAATAGCAGAGTTTCCTTGTATTTTCTTCTGGAAAAGGTAGAAAGTGACGGAGACCTCTGGGTGTGTGGTGTGTGCACAGGGAAAGCTGTCTCAAGAGGTAGCTGATAGCAGACATTATATCCTTGTCTGCTTCCTCCACAGTAGTCTCCAGGCTAGAGGTCATATCCTTTTTGCTTGTAGCACCACAACAGTCAGGATGGTATTTCTTTCCTAGATCTTTTCAAGCCCATTTCTTCTGTAATGTCTGCATGACATTAGTGAGTTAGAGTTGGCCAATGGGTTCGATCCCATTGATTTTTTTTATTTTTTTTTTTTTTTTTTTAGGATTTTAGATACAGGTAACCCACAGCCCCAGCTAACACAACAGAAACATGAAAGAACCAGAAAAGATAGACTTGCTCATTTGAAGTTAAATGGTTTTAATTCAGTCTCCCTTGACATTGTTGGACTCTAGAAAATTTGTAACAATGGTTAACACATCCTCTTTTTCATTCTGTACAGTCAGTTGATGTCCTGCTCTGAGCTGACTGCTATGAAATCTCTTTAGTGCTACCACTGTTGGCCTGGTAAATAGGAGTAGGTCTGAGAGGTCAGAGGGAATTGGGTATCAGTTTGTAAACTGGCAGTCTGTATATTCTCTGTTCTACAGGCATATGTTTTTTTGCAAATGCATGATTGTGTTAAACTTGGTTTTCACAGAATCATAGTTTTCATATTCTCTATTTCACCAATAGTCTCCTTTGCTTCAAGGGTCTTGAAGCTACTGTTTGCTGTTTGTACAGACAGAGTTGATATATCTGCATCTGCTTCCTTTTTTTTTTCTTCAATCCCTTCTTCCTTTTTAAGCAGAAGAATGGACTTCTTTGTTTTGTCTGAAGCAGTCACCACTATTCAATTGTTTGAAGCAGGTTTGGTCAAATACACAAAAACAAGTTAAGCCTTATTTGTTTTCATTTGACAACAAGCAGTTGTCATCCAGATCTAAGGCATTCATAGCTCCCAAACTGTTTGTTTCTCTAATTTTTCTCTGAACAGTTTTCTGGGTATGATCTGTGCAACGGAGTGGAAATTTAAATACTAAACACGGTTGTGATGTTCTGGGGTTTTTTGTTTTTTGCATCATCTGTTTCTCGGTAATAAAATGACTCTTTCTGTCTTGCAGGTTTTGCACTGGGGAAAGCGGGTGACAAGATGAATGCTTTACGGAAAGTATGTTGATTGAATATTTCTTGCCGTGTCCCTAAGTGCCATGTCTACACACCTTTTAAATACCTCCATGGATGAGAACTCAACCACTTCACTAGGCAGCCTGTTTCAGTGCTTGTTAACCCCTTCAGTGGAGAATTTTTTCCAGTCTAAACCTCCCCTGGCACAACATGAGGCAATGTCCTCTCATCCTGTCACTTGCTATTTGGGAAAAGAGACTGACCAACACCCCACTTCAGCCTCCTTTTGTGTAGTTGTACAGACCAATACGTCTCCCCTCAGGCTCCTTTTCTCCAAGCAAAGCTCCTCCAGCTCCCTCAGTTGCTCCTTTTAAGAGTTGTGCTCCAAACCCTTCACCAGCTCTGTTGCTCTTTGGTCACACATAGTGAGGTTGCCCTGCAATGAAATTCTGCTAATGCACCCTTTATTTTCTTTCTATTCCTTTTCCTTGGGCTATTATCTATCCCTCTCCTCAGTCACTTGTTTCCAATATCTACATAGCATGCAGTCTGCTTATACTGTGAGTGGGTAGGAATTTTTCTCTCACCTTAATAAGGCTCCCTTAGATTTCAGAATGTTACTTGTCCATCTACGTTAATCTAGTTTGTTGTAATGCTCAGCTAAGCTGTGGAAGTAGCAATGCTAAAATACACAAAGTTTGATGAAGTTGTTGCTATATTGAGAAATTGTTAAATCCGTTAGGAGAAAGAAAGAAATTTAGGAGAAAGAAATTTTTTATTTGTTAGAGAACATTTTTATTTCCATAAAGCTTAGATGTGGCAAACGCTTCTTTAAGTTTTTTTATCTTGCATTTTGTTTATCTAGCTAACTGAACAATGGTAAATTTCAAATATTTAGTGGAAAAAAATCAAGGAAAAAAAATGTTTTCTGCCTTTTATTCCCTAGGCAAAGAATAAAGCAATAAACTGCTTACATTTTATAGAGCTGTATCAGAACCACACAAGTAAGTATGATACTTTCGATATAAGTACTGAATATACCAACAAGAACTGGCTGCAACTACTTGCAAAGCTTAAAAAAATGTTAACTAATTTTTTTCTGATCTGATGCATTGTATTATTATTCTTCATGCATTATTTTTTCCTTTGCAGCATACTATATGAAATCTTAGTCCCAGACTGCTTTAGCTAGGCTGTGGTAATGTCAGAGGACAGTCATCAATCCCTGTGTTAAATAGATCACTATTACCTGGAAAGAATATGTGGTTTGCTCCTTACTTCCGTTCAGGTTTGAATCAACTGTTTTAGGAAGGTCCATGCAGAAAGATTAAGATTAAATAATACGAGGTGGTGTTAAAATATTGGGAGGTTTATCTCTCTTCTGGTCTCCTGCCTTTGCCATGAAAGATCGGGACAGACTTTTTAGCAGGTCTGTTGTGAGAGGACAAGACATAATAGTTTTAAACTAAAGGATGATAGATTCAGACTAGGTATGACTAGATATTTTTTTTCTTACAGTGAGGATGGGACAGGTTACACAGAGAGGTGGTGGATGCCCCATCCCTGGAAACATTCAAAGTCAGCTTGGATGGGGCTCTGAGCAACCTGATCTAGTTGAAGATCTTCCTGCTCATTGTAAAGGGGTTGGACTAGATGGCCTTTAAAAGGTCCCTTCCAACCCAAACAATTCCATCATTCTGTGCTTAAAATTTGGGTACTTAATCTGTAGTATTTCAGTCTTTTTAAAAATGGGAGTGGGGGAAGGAGACGGTAGCACAGTTAGGTCTTTTGTAGCACATTTGAGTTAAGGAAGTTAGACACTGTCAGGGCATTTTTCCCTACAGTGAATTCCTGTGCTTTTTCACTTTCTGTGTCAGAGAAGATGATTCCCTGTTGATTCAATCCATGTGTGCTGACAAAGCCCAGCAACCAGGGAGAAACTAGAACTGGAGAGGCAGTCTGATGTTTCCTGGTAGTTTTTTGTTAATTCAATTTAATTCCATACAATTCCTCTCTGGTGTCGAACATGGTACCTGTATAACAAATATTCAGTTATGTTTCTGAAAAATTTTGAAAGGTAGTGCCTTACAGAGTATATTAGTATTTAACCAAGTCATGGCGTAGATAAATATTCAGTATAATAGAACTTTGACTTATAAATACAAAACTCTAGTTATTTTCATGAGTCTATTCCTTGAGCATTATTATTTCACACTAACAGACCAGAGATTTGATTCAAAGCTGGTGGTGTTTCTACCATGCTTCCCGTTCTACTCAACGTAGAGGTCCTCTCTGAGCCATTATGAGTGCAGTGCTAGAATCTACTACGCAGAGACTGAGTCACTGAATCAGATGTGTATAACAGCTGCCTGAGTTTGGGGTTCCTTCTGAAGCAGAGAAAATCAGGGAAACCGGAAGGGTAAATATTCTCTACAGAAAATCTGAGAATGCTGATGTCTGTGGAGTTAAAAGATGAATTATTTAAAAAAATCTGAGTAGGAGGAAGTTCAAATTGTTATTATGTGAACTCACTTCAAAACTAAATGAGGTTCATCGGAGACATACAGACCTATTTTTCAGGTGGTTTTGTGCACAATCATAACATAGTATTCACAGATATGACAACATTCATGATCTATTCCAGAATTTTACCTAGATTAACCCTTCTCTTTAAAGAAGCCAGAGGAGAATAAAACCAACTTGCTATTCACAGTTTGGAAAAAGAAAGGTACTAGTTAAAACTTTTCTAGAAGGAAGAATTTAGCTGTAATGCCTTTTTTTTTTCCTCCCCTTCCAGTTTACCATGACATTACAACAAAATTTAAAACCACCAATATCCGCATGAAGAAGCAAAACAAAGGTAACTAAAGCTGCCTGGAAATTTTGAAGTTTTATTGGTTACTGACTAGTATTTATTTGATGAAGATAAACTTGTGCAGTGTCTAGTCTACCATATTTTAAATGTTCAAATTGATCAGCTGTTTTTCATTAGAAATAACTACTGTTGATGACATGGCTTTGCTATTGTACAAAAATGCTCCTCTTACACTGGTGGGAGCTCTATTTATGGTTTTCTTTCATACTCGGTAAGAGTAGTTCCTAGATGTGGAAAAGTTTGTTCTAATCTGATTAGCATAGGTGTTGAATGCAAAGGCCTTCCAGAAGAGCCCAGCAGGTTTTGCTTCCCACCATATGCCCTATGCATGCTTTGGAGAATTGATAGGCTCATTTGATTGTTTTTCAGTGATGATTTTTTTATTTTTTAACTGTTGTTTCCAAGACAAGATTGAGAGGTAATTTAGTATGCAGCAGTGGGAGTGCTTCACATGTGAATCAGAGTGCGAGGCTGCATCTGTGTGAAGTCTACACTGGGATAACACGGGCAGATGTCCCCTCTTAATTGCCTCAGACTTTCAGGAGCTAGGGCAGCATACAGTCTTCTACATCTTCAAGACCATTACTGCTTTATTCATCCTAAAATCAGTAATTCCCAGTGTGGAAAGTAGAGGAATTATCTGCCCTGAGTCCAGCACCATACCAGCAAAAAGACCATCTGATCGTTACACCAGCTGGCTGAGCTTGATGCTCACTACCCAACACATGCACACAGACAGTTGTCCCTCATGCGTTCCACACTCACAAGTCCCCCATGGTGTACGACCACAGACCCCCTGCCCACCTGATACCCTGGACTAGAGGGCTGGCCTAGCTTATGAAAACACATGCACACTTCACGCTCATCAGGATTGGAGAAGATACAGATCCTCAGCTGCCCTCTCCAAGAGCCACCACCAGGCAGACAGGCTGTAGTTCAAGGTCCTGCAGCAGCCATTGGTGGGTTTGTGTGGTGCTATCAATTCTCACATCCTTCCCAGTTCAGGTCTCCCTGGGTTTACAGAGTTGGTTGCGAAGTCCAGGTTGATCTTCCTGGAAGTGGCATCTCAGTTAGCAGTGGTGTGTGTTTCTTGTCATTGTCTCTTTGTTTATTTCAGATCTGTGTCTCTGTATATTTTGTTTATGGTTTCCCCTTTTCCCCCGCAATTCTCTAATTGACAATGTCTACAGTCAGATAACGTCACTAGAACAAATATTCTGACACTCTTAACACGCTCTCACCAGTTAGTGTGGCTGACCAGGTTTGGTTCTCATCACTGCCTAACCATTTATCAGTCATGTTTGTGTCCCTGGATGTTCCTGTTGCTCCACTTTGCCATACCCTTACAGCTGCTAATCCATTGGAAGTAGTTGCAATACTTTCAGTCCACTGTGGTACTCCAGCCTTTCCTGGTATGAGAAATGCTTTAGTCCCTTAATCATCTTCTTACCACTTTGCTGGACTCAATCCAATATGTCAACATCTGTCTTGTAATGGGGAGCCCTGAACCGGACACAGTGCTCCAAGCGTGTGTCACTTGTGCTGAGTAAAGGGGAAGGATCATCTCCCTCAACCCATTGGCAACAGTCCTAACACTGCCCAGGATACTGTTTGCCTTTTTTGCTGCAAGGACACATGGCCGGCTCATGGCCAACTTGGTGGCCACCAGGAGCCCCCAAACCCTTTTCTGCCTCGCTGCTTTCCAGCTGTTCAGCCCCCAGGATTTGTTGGTGTATATATGGTTCCTCCCCAGGTGCAGGGCTTTGCACTTGCCCTTGTTGAATGTCATGAAGTTCCTGTCAGCCCATTTCTTCAGCCTGTCAAGGTCCTCTGGGTGGCAGCACGAGACCTGGCGTATCTCCACTCGTCCCAGTGTTGTGTCAACAGCAGACTTGCCAAGATTACACTGTTCCCCACTACTGAGATAATTTATGAAGATGCATACAAGTGAGGCTGACTGTCCTACAGTTCTTCCAGCTCTTTTTTCCCAGAAAGGGCAACTCCACCTCTTTGTTTTCACAGTCTCTTCTTTCTAAAGAGCCTATATCCCTCCACTGTAGCACTCCATTCCTGTTAGCCATCTACCAAAACTCTCTGATTTCAGCTAGATCGTTAGATGCACAGCTGCACACATATATCTCACGTCCTCATGTTTATTCTCAGTGCTGCATGCATTGGTGAACAGAGGCCCCTTACCATGCTGATTTCCCAGAAAGCACTTTTCCATAACGCTACCTTGCAGACACTTCCTTGCTTACATGCAAATGCTGGCAGTGACCCTACTCAAAGCCCTTCTGATGATTTTTGCTTTCCCTGTGCTCACATCACTCCAAACCCTTTGTTTTTCAGCATTCTCTGTTCCACCCTCAGAGGCCTGCTGATAATTCTGTGCCTAGTTTAAAGCTGTCCTTACAGATCAGCCACTCTACTGGCAAAGATAGCTTTGTCCTGCTTAGCAAGGTAGATCCCATCTCTCCCAAGCACGCTCTGATCCTCTGCAAGGTTCAGTTGTCATAGAAAACAGAAACCTGTTGCTGGCACCACCTCCACAGCTATTGCTGGCCTGCATTATTGTTGCCCTCCTTACACCCTTTCCCTTTTCCAGCAGAGTTGAGGAAAACACTGCCTGGGTCCCCATGCCCCAACTATCACCCCCAGAGCTCTACAGTCACTTTTGATACTCTCCAGCTTGCTCCTGGCAGTACCATTGGTGTCCTCATGGGGCACCATATCTGTTGTCTCCAGCTCTTCCTTATGGCTTATCACAGGAGATAACACTTTCCTTGGCCTTTCTCATCTGACCTTTGTGCTTACAGAATCCCTTATTGTTATTCTTCACATCCCTTGCCAAGTCCTTTTCCATCTGTGCCCTGGATTTCCTGACCCCTGTACTCTTCCCAGGTCACCAGTTCCTGCTTCCATTGGCCATGTGTTTCCTTCTTACTCCTCAGTTTGAGAAGCAAAACCTTGCTCACCTGTGCCATTTTCTAACCCGCCTTGTCTGATTTGCTACACACTGGGATGGAGAGCTCTTGCACTCTAAAAAAAGTGTCCTGAAATTATTGCCAGCTCTGGTCAGCTCCTTTGTCCCTAAGGACAGTTTCCTAGGGGATCTCATTCACCAACTCCTTAATCATCTGGGAAGTCTCTCTTCCAAAATTCAGAGTCCTGACCTTGCTCCAGACCAGGCCCACGTTTCTTGAGGTGACTCACTCCACCAAGGCATAGTCAGGCTGTCTCCAATCTGAATCCCTCTAATCAGTTCCTCCACATTGTTGAGCAGCAGATCCAGTAACACCTCACCTCTGGTTGGTTTGTCCAATGCCTGGACCAGGAAGTTGTGCTCCATACACTTCAGGTTCCCTGGATTGCTTGCAGCCCAGCTGTGTTGCTTACCCAGCAGATGTCCCTGGGGTTGAAATCCCCCACTGCAGTGAGAGCTTGCAAGTGTGATGCTTCCTGTATCTGAAGCGAGAAGGAGTCATCCACAGGCTCCCACTGATGCTATCTCAGCAAATGGTCACAGCAAATCCTAATGTTTTAGCAGAAAAAGATCAAATGTTCCTTTCTTGAATTTATTCTTAATCCCTGCAAAGCAGAGAAATCTTTCCCTATCATACAGATAGGATTAGACAAGTGAAATTCCAAATTAAAAAATAATGTGATACGAACATGTGAATGTGAGCTTCACTCAGAGTAGTTCCTTAGTATGGATTTAAAGTGGATGTTCTGTTTTCCAAACTATTCTTAGTTATTACCCAGAAAATCTGTTGTAGATTGCCTTTAAGAGGCTCTGTTAGTTTATAGGAAGGATACATTTTAAATACTTCTTTGCTTACCTTTGTATCTTTTTCAGTGTGAGAAAATATGTTACATCTGAAATAGCTTGTTCTCTTATATTGGTCCCATTGAATTAAACCTCAGTACAGCAGCGTTCAGGTTAAACATGGCTGAGCCCAATTTTCTCCCCACAGCTGGAATCCTCTGCTTTTGTGTTTGGAATAAATTTTGTCCAGAGACTAATGGACTAGTCTGCTGGCCTCTGAGTTTCATGTATTAATAATCTGAGGAAACTTAATTAAGATGGGAGAAAAACAGCAATAAAAATGCCAGAAATGAAATGCTTTCAGTCACTGAAAATGAAACTCTCACAGCCCTTCAGAAGTAATTCACATGTAATTGTGTCTAAAACTTGACTTTGTTTTGTAGCACGGGAAACAGTATTGTCTCAAATGACAGAACAAATGGCTTTGGAGGGTTGTAATTTCCTTTCTGATTATAGGTTCAAAGCAAAGTGGACATAGTGACACAGTAAAACATGCAACGCTGGAATAGATTTTTTTTTACCTCCTTTACTCAGCAGCAAGACCATCATGCAGAGCTTTTCACCTTTTAAGTAAGATACATTAGGACTATCACAAATCAATTTTTAAAGATTACTAGTGCTAGGCCATTTGAAACAGTGGCTCTGGGGAACAAAAGAGCAAAATGAGACTCCTCAAAAAAATAATTCATCCATTAAAATCTGGCAAGTGTGAGGAAACCATTTGTAGTTAATGCCAATGTACAACAGCTATGCATTGGAGTTAATATAATCTCCATCTCTGTAATGGAGATGGATGCAGCTGATATGCAAACATCTGTTGTGTTTTTGGATTTTGAAATACGTTTATCTGTCCTTCACTTTGTGCCACTAATATAATAACGAGGTGTAATTCATGCCAGTTGCTGGGCCAGGAAAAGGGAAGTGATGCCTCTGCACAGTACTGTGCAGAGTGCAGTCTTACTCTCTTGATAGTATTCTGCTAGGTTTTTTCAGCTGAAAGGGAAAAGCATCACTATTTTTGTGGCTGCTGGCTAATGGCTGTTATATTTAGCATATTTAGCACAGACTGTGAAGCTGGTGAGTTGCTGAGTCAGGAGGCAAGTAAAAGGTTCACATTTAGGAGATCAACCGCAAAGTCTGAATTTGGTATAATTGGGTGCAGTGATGCCTTCCTCAATTTGCAGGCAGGTTCAGTCCCATTTTCACTGCTCAAAGCTTTGCACGCCAAGAGCCAAATAAAATAAAAATGTGGTCGGTTTTATTTGGCTACCAGAAGGCCTGTGAGCAGCAAGAGGCACCAGTGTCAGTGGGTGCTCACCCTCTTTCCCTGTTTTGAGACCAGGCTTTTCTACTGCAGCATTATTGCCCTCCTTCCTTCCCCAGTTTCTCTGCCGGCTCTTTGTCTGATAGAGATCTTGAGCACAATCTCAGGCTTTAGGAAGGCACTGTAGGCCTCTCATCCAGCAGCAATCTCCCTGGGAGTGTGAGACACTGACATGTCTTCTACTGCAGGGTCCTTCTGGAAGGAAGCCCAAAGGACAGCAGTTTAAATCGCTCCATCATGTATACGAACCAGGATTTGCCATCGTTAGGAGTGCAGCAGTTGCTCACCGGAAGTTGCAAAGGAAGTGGTGTTGGAGTTTGTGTAGGTGTTGCTTTTTAGAAGAGACAGTCTTCATCAGCGTCCAGCTGCATTTAGATCCTCTCCCCTTGTAGTGTCTTCTTTTTAATACTCTTTCATGTAAACTTGTTGCCTTGCTTCTCTGCTAATTTTAGTAGTGGTAGTTTTGGGAAGTATTGGAGTGGTTTTTTTGTACTGAGTAGGAGAAAGGAATTGCCTTTTGTTTGGTGAATGTTTGTGGAGGGGGGGGCTATGTCTGTGGAAGATTGTTCTAAAGATGCCATGGTACTTCTAAGGAATTCTGTCCAAACCTGTGTCATTAAATAATTCTTCAGGTTGTATTTTATGTGGTTTTATGTTTATAGGTGGTGACTTTTTAATTTGGCTTTGCAGTATGTTAAGCAAGGTGTATTTAGTACAAACCCCACCCAATGTTTGTGTTGGCATGGCTGCAAAGACTGGGAAGAATGGTCTGCCCAGAATGGTTTTGCCATTTTTAGCATCTAATGTGTTCTAACGTGCAAGGTAACAAAAATAACAAAGCAGAAGTCTTAATGCTCTTGCCTTCCTTCCTAGTAAGTTGTACGTTTACAAGTAATCACATAATGCTAATTTACATGGGTTTTTTTCCCCAGGGTATGGTCTTCGTTGCCACCGAGCTATTATCACCATGTGCAAACTAATTGGCATTAAAGACATGTATGCCAAGGTTACTGGATCCAAAAACTTGATTAACATTACCAGAGCTTTCTTTAAAGGCTTGACCCAACAGGTAGGTGCACTCTCAGTGGTTCTTTCCATTCTATCTATCAGGGAACAGAAGGGGATTGATGTTGTAATAGTTTGTGGTCAAACAGTTTATATTCTAGACTTTAAATGAAGTAATTTTCCAAAGAATGAACAAAATCAGCAGAGAGGTAATTCCTCAGCAGTTTTATGAAGTTCTCCAGTCAGAAACAGATATATCTAACTCTGCCTGTTCCACAGCCAAGTGCCTGCAGGGGACATCTGAATTTCTGGGCTTTTGTTTGTTGTATTTTTTGGTGACGGTTGATAGATCATGGGCAGAGGAAGTTGTGGACCAGCTTCGGTTGCTGCTGCCTGTTTGTCTGTATTCTAAGTTTTCATTGCCCAAGGAGCGAATGTCACAGCTTCTATTGCTGGTGTAATTAAGATCTCTGAAATAAGTCAGGGAGCTAGTGTCATTTCCTCTAGCTCTAAGTGCTCATAATGGAGCTGTGTCTGTCTGAGCCAGCTGCCTGTAGTTGATGGAAAAGATCCAACATGCAGCATTTCATCTGACTTCCTTTGAACACTTAGAATGAGTCAATCCTTTGGAAAATCCTAGTTATCTCATTTGTTCATAGTTTTGGTAGCTGCCAAAATTTAGCTGCTTACATTCTAAGCATAGCCCTGCATAGCTCTAGTTGTCAAATCTGTGACCCTGTCCTGGCCAACTTGATCAGTTTAGCCTCAGAAGGTGAGGGGGTTATGATCCTCTTTGCCTAATGAGATAATTTGCCTAATCAGATCTCATAGCTTGGGTTATGAGAGGTTAAGAGGTTATGAATTTAATCAGACTTGAGGAAGTATGGCCTATGTTTTCAATGCATTGTCTCTTGAGAAATCTTCCACTGATTGAATAAAAGAACAGAAGGGCCTACTCTATATATTACTGCTTTGAGAGATATGCACTTGATATATTTTCTTGACTGCCCTGAATGGGAAAAATTTCATGTTTACATTTATTCTGTAAAATCTGAGTGTTAAAAAACACCTTGTATGCGAGGAAGAGGTGTAGCTGTGTTAAATTCATACCGTTATGCTAGCTAATACCTGTCAGGGCAGTAATAAGCACTTTGCTGTTGTCAAAGCAAAATTTATATCCATATATAATAATAATATAAATGTTCTTGCACATTACTAACATGCCAACATGCATGCTTATTAGCAGGATGTGTCTTTTTTGAACAAATCCTTTCCAGAAGCAAGTTCCTCCAGAATGACACTGTAGTGCTAGTTAGTATATCTGCAATCTACCTATCTGAATTTCTGCCCATGTAGATGAGCCTGACAATTCCTTTAATTTACACAGTGTTTAAACTGTTCATTAGTAAATGATTTTCTTTCCTCCTACCTCATATGCCATGTAGAGTTTGACCTGAAGTAAACCAACATTGTGCATCATTGTTTTGGTTGTCTTTTCTCTCTCCTAATCCCAGGAGACTCACCAGCAGTTGGCAAACCAGAAGGGTCTCTATGTGGTGGAGTTCCGTGAGGAGCAGGGCCCTCTGCCCATTGTCGTGGCTCTGCCGGAGGGGACTGTCCGCGAGGATCCTGAGCCTGAAGATGAGGTTTCCGACAAAAAGCTGGAGTGGAGTGAGGTGAAAGAAGCTCAGGGAATGAAGAAATCTCCCTGGGCAAATGTCAGAAGGACAGCATGTTAAAAGTTTCTGTCCCACAACTGGGAAAGCCCAGCTCAAACAGACATGTTGTCTAGGCTTACGTTTCAGTGGAGGGCAGCAGTAGCTCTCTCATGCCATTCATATTGCTGCTGCCATTCTACCATTCAGTAACACTGTTTGCTTTCCTACAACTCCTCTGACCAGTGTTTGACTGGGGATGTTCAGATGGAAGCAGTCAGCGAATGTGTCTTTGTCTTCAAGCATGTGTTTACTTGATTCCAGAAGGTGATTTTTTAGTCAAGAGCTCCCGTGATTCTTTCACAAGTTCTTGGAAAACTATTGAAAATACAAGATTGTGAAAGCAATAAAGAATCATCAGAGTGGGTTTAGTGTGGGTTTGTTGAGGTCTTTTTTCTTTTTTTTTTTCCAAAATCTTGAAGCAAGCAGCAGTTGTGGGAATTAATGTGTGCACCCTCTTATCTCACTCCCCGGGCTGATTCATTATGGTGGGAGAACTGGGAAATCAGAAAATATAAGCTGCATGCCTTCTGGTGGTGGGTAATGGGGACAAGGTGATGATGGTGGGCAACAGCTGGAGTTGTTCAAATACAACCATGCAAGTGGGGGAGTTCCCCAAATGAAGCAGAGCCCAAATATCTGAGGACAGCCACTACCCCACCGTCTCCTATGCAATATTAGCAGTATTTTGACTGGCTTTGGAAGTCCAGTCCGAAATGTGCAGTCCAGCCTTTGTTACAGTATTCTCCTCTGCAATGTGTGCTCCATTTTCTGCCAGTTTGGTACTGAGCACAGAAAAGTCTTGGATCCTACCCAGGACTCAGAAAGCGCTACAGGTGTCAGAGGATTAAAGGAGAAGGAGCAAGTCCATGATATGCACCAGCCTCTGACCAGAGAGGAAATAATCCCCTTCAGGTAGAGGACCTCCAACTGGTCCTCTACACACAGGTATTTACTAGAGGTCAGATTAGCTCACTGGCTGGAGGGGATCCATCACCCAAGTCACACCAGAAGATAAACAGACTTTGCGTCCACATGACAGGACACAATGCTCTACCTGGCAGCTCTTGGGCATAGCAAGAGAAACAGTGGAACTAAACCCAAACAATGACTTCTCACAAAGTATTAGAGCAATCCAAGCTATAAAACAAGTTAGGGGTTAAATTCTGTGCCTCCCAACCTGGGAATGCTTATCATGGCATTTCTCTGTATGCCAAAAGATGCTGCTTCTTTTGTTAGTACAGGAGAAAATACCTTTACAGTTCTTCAAGACCAATCCGGGAATTTACATTTGAAGTTCTGATGTTAAAGACATTTAGAGCAATATTTTTATGTTCATTTCAGTTCAGATTTCTAAAGATAGCACTTATGTATATACAAACAGGCAGGGTGAATTGAATTGACTTGTATCTCACTCTCGTAATGAAAATTCTAATTCTAAGGCCATGCCTGCTGAGCAGTTGGCTGAAGGCTTTATTCCTGTTTGCCAGCTCAGTCTAAATACACTTCCAGTAGGACTGCCAAGTGTTCAGTTTGAAAACTTTCTGGTAAGCAGCCTATCAGAATACTGTTCAAGAATGCATGCTCACATTTAGCTTGCATCTTACTGCTGAGCAGAATCAAAGATTAAAAAACTGGACTAAAGGAATCAAATCTTTGCTGTATTTAGGTGACCTTCAGTTTGCCTGTGTCCTTGCAGAAACAGAGAGCTGAAGGGAGTTGGCTCTGTTGCTGACCCAAAACAACCTCAGTTTGAGTAGTGAGCCTATAGTGACTGACTGGATCAGCTCTTTGTCATTTGCTTCCTGCAAATGACAGATGGATCATGCCAGCATTTTCTCTCTTCTCAGAATCAGAAATCAGGTGTGTCTCAGTAACAGGTGATTACATCCACGTTTGGAGATGTCCTTCTGCTTCCTTGCATGTTGTTCTTACATTTCCTTGCCCAACGCACACGGAAAAGCCCCCACTATTCTGGCCTAAAGATGATGAAGGTGCTGCAGGAGATCCTACAAGGCCACTGCTACACAAAAATTGGAATGGAGGTTGATGTCAGTGTCTCCAGCTCTGCATAATGGGATGAGGTGACAGCATTCAGCAGGCCCTTGGGTGATCCCAAGATCACACAAGAACAGACAGGCTGTAGGGACAGGTCCTTAGATAACAGCACCTAGTGCAGAGCAAGTTGTAAAGTCCAGCTCGCCCCGGCCAGCCTGGGCCTCAACACTGTTCTTGTGCAACCCAAACTGAGATCTCACACCACATTTTCCCAGCTTGTGAGGCACACAGGCTGTCACTTGGCACAAGGGTCCCAGTGTGTCTTTTATGTGTAGAGGTTGGCAAACGGACATCTCCCTTGAACCCTTCTTGGTCACTCAGTAATTTCTGTTCTCGCTGCTAATGCAGGGGAAACATTGTTCCCAGTGGATATTTTCTCCATCAGCCAAAGCACTTGGAAATGTCTGACTGATTAATAGCTGGTGCCTCCAAAAGAATCCACACCAGACTTGCAGGTCCACTTTGTGGGCTAGTAGATATGTGCTGTAAGATAAGGAAGTAGTAGGATGAATGCCATTTACCTTTACAGAACTGATGGCTATATAGTAACCACAAGTCTCCCTCTTCCCCAAAGTCTGCACATTAGCTACACTTGCATCTGATCCCGTGAGGGTCTTCAGGAATCCCCTGCCTTGTCTCTGCTCTCTGGAGGACATTTAGGGTTCTTCTCAGACACACAGGACAATAATTCATGTTTGAACACTTCTCTGAGTCCCTCAAAGCAAATGGGGTTTCCATGCTTGATTCTGTTGGCATAAGGGGGACGAGGGAGCAGGAGGGCCATGGTGTCAGTACGGAGACCAGAGGTGTGGAATGAACTGTAGCTGAGTCAGGAGAGGGAGAGGCACACTGAGCTGGCAATGAATCACGCTGCCCCAGACCCAGTTAGAGCTTAGTTCCCTACAAAGAAGTAATCTCTTGTGGGTTTACTGTTTTCACAAGTTTGTTCACATTAATATAGATGCTTGTATAGAAGTTCTACCCAGCATACAGACTGCTCATTGCTCACAGATAAGGCCAACTGTAAAATAAGAAACTCCTGCATTTTCCATGGAGCTGGCCGTAAGTTTTTGTTACATTTCTTGGCTTTCAGAAAAATCAAATTCTTCTTCTGCAGTTCAGGAGAAGATGAAAGTTCTTCTAACTCATTGCATCGCTGGAGGCCAGGTATCCAATATACAAATATTTGGGGAGCAGTTAACATTGCGGCCAAGCCACTTAATTAAACGAGCAATCAAGATTACAGTCTGGGCATAGTTAATGAATAGGTCTGTAATTTGTTTTTAACAGGAACTAAGGTTTTGCCTGCCTTCAAGTGGGTAGGTTGTTTTAACTAACGTTCTCTGGATGCCTGCAGGCCTCCTTGTCATGCTGAGGAAGCTGGAGAAGAGCAGAGGGAAACTCCAGTTACACTACCAGTTGAAACCTGGTAGAGGCTGTGGGGACATAATTGACCCAC